TGTCTTTAAACCTGTTTATGTTTATAGTTGTCTCTAGATTAATCAAAACCTATTCTTGTTTGCTTGAATTAAGAACTTGAACATATAGCTTAGTGTCTAACACCACATTTGGATTGATAAACCTCTTTGTGCTACATTGACAAGGGGATTGATAGCCCTGAGACCATAAAAAGTCTTGTCTATCAATTAGAAGTAAAGATGAGATGAACAAATGATAAGAAATAGCTTTAAGATGACTAAATCTGCTAGATATCTCTTGATCAAACTCGTTTTTACACAAAAGAGGCCAAGAAACAAAGAGAATAAAACTTATCCAACAGATATTTCCTAAAGAATATATATAGGTAGGGTTTTCTTGATGGGCCAACCCAGAACAAATAAGGTATTGGCCCAACAAAGCCCTAAAACACGTGCTGAAATAAGGTAGTATCGACCTGATTTCAGTCGGTGCAGGAGCTCGGTGTGGTGTTAAGAAATCTCTGAAGTTCAACACCAAGCAGGTTTCACTCGGTGTAGCTCCTTGGTGCAGAGTAATGAAGGTCTTCAGGGGGCCAATACCGGCCAGAATTGTGTTGGTGTAGCACTCGACATATTTTCGGATTTTGAGCTCCCAAAATCCAAGAAAAACCGTCAAGGGATCAAGGTCATATCGACCAAATTCTTGTCGGTATTCTTCTCGATATGAATGCAAACTGCTTGCACCAAATCCTTCATAACTCCCTGTTCGCTGGTCCAAACCTTGATCGGTCAACTCCATGAGCCAGATGGCTCCTTCAGCTGCAATTTTGGTGAAGGGATTGAGCTCGGGTGACGTCGGAAAAGGCTCCGTTCCACCAGTTCTTTGACGCGCATTGCTTTGGTCCTTTATCGGCTCCGAGACATGCACTGCTTCTTATTGCCGTAACTTTCAGCTGACAACTCTAAATAAGACGATCTCAAGTTTTCTGGAAACTATAATCGACCCTCTTGATTCTTGATGAAGACTCCGGAGGCTGAATCCTGGTGCAAGTCCTCCTTCTCAGGTGATAAATTTGAGGGATCGTCGGCTCCATAACACTTGTCCGAGTCTGATGCACATAAGGTGATGGTCTCTCCATGGCTTTTGTCCCAATTGCTCCCAATTAGCTCCAAATGACCTGTAAACACTCCAAAAGTGCAAAAATCTCTAGGACCTAATGCAATTCCTAACTAAAGACAAAAGCAAAGACAATATGTAAAACTACCTAAATGTATGCATGAGACTCAATATTTGGACGAAAATGCCATCCTAAACATGAAAAAATATGAGTATATCACTACACATGATGGATTGATACCCTTTGTACTGTAAAGTGAAAAATGGGATTGATAACCCTTCATTTAGAGCCTTGAAAACTCTAGTTATCAATTGTCCGACCTGCACAGCTTATATCACACATAAACCTTGGCTGTCTTCAGTTGTGCGACATGGATCCAGAAGACTCTGAGCCGCACAGCCATGTAAGTGCCATTTGCGAGTTGTAGTGCGAGATGGGACCTTTTTTTTTTGTCTCGCACACCAATCTCGCACACTCGATCCAGCCTCATGAACTGAGGGGTTTTCTGACTCGCACAGCCATGTAGGTGCAAATTGCGAACATGTGTGCTACTTGGATCTTGGTTTTCTGACCCGCACAGCCATGTAGGTGCAAATTGCAAACATGTGTGCTACTTGGATCTCTCCTTGGCCATCCCGCACAGCCATGGCGCACAATAGCTTCCTCACATAATTATGTGCCTTAAGCTCATCTCCCAGCTGCTTTCTCACCCCCTTTCATTCGGATCTTGAGCCTAAACACTTTTTAGACTCCTTAAGACCTGAAACCAGCTCACAAAACACATTAAAACATTCTAAAACATGGAAAAGTAAAGATTTGGAAGATTTATTTACAAGGATAAGCTTGGGGTGTCTCCCAAGAGCACTTTGTTTGAAGTCATTAAGTTTGACTCTTCATACTATTTTCTCAGTAAGGGTGAGGAGGAGCTTTGATCTCCTTATCTTGTCCATGAATACAAGAATGAGGTCCTTGTTCATCAGCTCTTGAACACCATCAGATCGTTTGTCTTGAACCCTTGTGTGAGGATAGTTCTGACTTTGGTAAATGGTCTTGATCTTCCATTTCCTTTAACCTTGTATTCCATAGCCCCACCAATAAACTTCCAAGGAGTGAGAGTTAAGACTTGAGAAGAAGGCCCAAGAGTGAATGGTTTGGTGCTTGTTAAACTCTTATCTTGGGAGCTTGAACTGTTGCCTTTGTTGTTACTAAACAAGCTTCATCATCAATATAGAAATCCCCTTCAAACGCAAGATCAGGTCTTATTAAGGATTCTTTCTTCTTCTCAACAGATGCAAGGAGTTGAGCTTCTTCTATAGTTCCAATACTCCCCACATACTTCATCTCATAGACTTTGAACTCATCAGCATCTTCAGATATAACTCTACAAAATCCAGCAAGAGGATGCTTAAGAGGATAAGAGACTTCATCATCTACCTTAGTAAGCACCACTCTTTGAGTATCAAAGTCCATTCTTGCTCATGTTGTGTTCAGAAAAGCAGTTCGAAGCAAGAGAGGAAGCTTGTTGGGGTCGGTTTTCACCCCAAGAAGATAAAACCATCTCAAAATGACTAAGTATGGAAGAAATACAAAGTAGCCGACCGTGCTCACCAAGACAAGTGGGAGAGCCGTGGTCACCAAGTGGGAGAGCCGTGCTCACCAAGACAAGTGGGAGAGTCGCGGTCACCAAGTGGGAGAGCCGTGAAGATAATCCAGTAGGGAGAGCCGTGAAGAAAGATAGATGGACCGAGCCGTGTCGTAAGAAATGGGCCGAGCCCCACTCCAACATGCTTGGGCCGAGCCGCGCCTCGGTGAGGTGGACCAGATCATATCTCGACTAAAATGGCAAGTGGGCTGAGCCGTGGAAAAGTTTAGATGGGCTGAACCAAGGCCTTGAGAGACGAAGCCATAAAAACCCTAGGCGAAATACAAAGGCGGTGAGACACACGAAGCGATAAGGAAATATTCCGAAAATCTCTCCCGAGATTCTCGGCTAGGCGGTTCAGGGAATTAGTATAAATAGACAATGTATACAATTCATTCTGTAACTTTTGCAACCCTAAGTAATAAGAGCTAAACACTTTTACAGCAAGAAAAACTTTTTTCGATCTTACTGTTCTTGGCGATAAACCCTAGAAGTTTCCGATCCCTTAGTTTTCCTTTATATCGACAAGACTTTAAGTTGTGTTTACTGTTTATTATATTTGGCAATCGTAGTTTTCTTAACCTTGTGGTAGTTTCTCTCGTATTGTTAATACTTTCTCCATTTTAAATTGGTGAATGTTTCGAATCTAAAACATCAGCAATTAGAAAGCGGTGGAGTATATATTTGGGAATGTGTCATGCAACAAATTTTAATTAATTTTATTGGTTAACATGTTTATATTAATTTTTTTTGAATTCGAAAAGGTCAATAACGTGGACTGAACTTGTTTTAATCCAAAAATAGATTTACTGAAAATTAGCATAACGGTCCCAAATATAATAAACAGTAAACACTTTTACAGCAAGAAAAATTTCTGGTTGTGCGAGTTTTGGCTCACACAATTTGGCGCCGACTGTGGGAAATCGAAACTTTCTTACTCTATATCGACAAGACTTTAAGATCCGAAGAACATGGCGAACAACACCCACGATGATAACAACAACACCGGTAACGGCGCTGAGAAGGACGCTCCGGCATCGGGCACAACGATGGCAACGATCGAAACCCAAGAGGAGATGCGAAATATGATGGCTGCGTTGATGAAGAAAATCGACGAACAGGATAAAAGAAACGAGGCGATTACGGAGAGGCTCGACGCGATGGCGGCTGAGCGACTACACCGAACTTGGAGAGCCGGAATTCCCAACCCGATGGATGGAATCCAGAGACGCTTCGATTTCTCGACACCTGCAGAAGCCTCAGGGAGCGGCGTAAGAAATCCCTCGGCTCTCCCGATGTTTCATCCCCACGACGAACAGACTCCCGCAGCAACCCGAGTCAACATGACCGAGCCGCCTCCACTCCGCCGGAACTCAAGGCGACGAGCCGGCGAGGAAGAGAACGATGCGATTGACGTAGACTCCCAGCAGAACGACGAAACCACGAATCCGCAACAAACCGGCTCGGCTCGCCAAATAAGTCAAGAAGAGCTCGCCTCGGCACTAACCGGCGTCCGAACTGACAAAGTCTCCGATCCGACCCGCGGCGAAAATCCAACCGAGGAAGAAAACCTCCAATGGATTGAGCAGGCAGAGCGCGAAGACGAGCCGAGGAGAGAGGAGCGGGAGCGACCCCCCCCCCAATCAAAGGGAATGACTCACGCACAAGCTCTCAAACTCAAAGAGCTGCGAGCCTCGATGGCTCGGACAGTGGCTGAAATACGCGCCATGAAATCCCAAGTGCACAACGCAACAAGCGCCGCGCCCGAAATCGACCGAATGCTTGAAGAAACTCAGAGAACCCCATTCACTGCAAGAATCACGGAGGCCAGGATTCCCGAGCCAGGGAAGGTGAGAATCCCGTTCTACGAAGGAACAACCGACCCAAAAGCACACATCACAGCGTTTTGGATAATAATGGGACAAGCCTTCACAAAGAACGCCGCTAAACTCACAGAGCACGAAGTAGATGCCTGATACTGCCTGCTCTTCGTGGAGCATCTCAAGGGAGCCGCACTCGAGTGGTTTTCGAGGCAGGAACGAAATTCAATCGACAATTTTCAACAGCTCTCCGCCTTGTTTCTTAAACAATACTCGATGTTTATGGACAGAGGAACATCTGATGCCGACCTATGGACACTATCCCAAGGATCGAACGAACCACTTCGGGATTACATGGCAAGATTCAAGGCAGTTGTATCCAAAATAGAAGGGATAAGCGACAAGGCTGCGCTCGAGGCTCTGAAACGATCTTTGTGGTACAAATCCGAGTTCCGACGGGAGATGGCTCTCAACACGCCGCAAAAAATTCAAGACGCTTTGCACCGATCATCAGACTTTGTCGTAAACGAGGAGGAAATGAAAAACTTGGACGAGCAGTACGAAGCAACGAAAGCAGCAATCCGAAGCTCAATTTTGCCGCGCCCCGCGAAGAAGGGCAACCCATCGAACAACACAACAACGCAGAGCTCGGATGAACCTAGAAGCAGAGGTGCCCATAACTACCGGGTAGGCACCGGACGCGGAAGAGGAGAGCCGCGAAACAACACTTGGGTGAGAAAGTCCGCCAACTACGACGAGAAGGCTTTCTGCGAGTATCACCAGACCTACGGGCACTCAACGGCTCAATCCCAAACTTTAGGAGCAAAGCTTGCAGCTAAGATGGCAGCGGGAGAGCTCCAAAATGCGGTCAACCTCAAAAACCTCGTCCCTAACGAACAACAAGAAAGAGCTGAGCCGAGCAGCGCAGCAGAACCCGCGAATCCTCCCCGACGAGGCGATAACTCCAAGCGCGATAGGAGAGGCGAACCTGAAGAGCGACCTGAGCCGAGGCAAAGGATCAATATGATCATGGGTGGATCTCAATACTACCAAGATACTGTGTCCTCCATCAAAGCCTATCAACGCCGAGCCGAAGCAAAGGAGAATTGGACAGAACTAACCGACATTCCAAACACAGTGATCTCCTTCGCCGAGGAGGAAACAGCAGGAATCGATCGACCTCACAACGATCCGTTGGTGATTGAGTTAACGATCAGGGATCATGACGTAGCAAGGGTGCTCATCGATACTGGAAGCTCAGTGAACGTCATCTTCAGGGAAATATTCAAAAGAATGGGAATCAATCTCTCCGAGGTAGAAGCAATCCCCAAACCTCTAACTGGATTTTAAGGAGAAACAACGATGACTATGGGAACGATCAGGCTTCCTGTGGTAGCTGGCGGAGTCACTAAGATCGTCGAATTCTGCGTCATTGATCACCCAACAATCTACAATGTGATCATGGGAACTCCATGGATCAACGAGATGAGGGCGGTCTCCTCCACCTATCATCTCTGTCTCAAATTCCCAACTCCATCGGGTGTCAAAACGATATGGGGGAATCAGAAGGAGTCAAGAATGTGCTGCCTAGCCGAGCACAAGCTGAGGAACCCCGTCACTGACGCACGAGCAGACATAGACTGCAAAAAATTGAAGACAGACCGAGAGCCCGCGAACGAGCTCTCGAAACTCTTATAGCAATTAAAGATCGCGGAGAACCGCGAAACACGCGCCGAGCCGGTATGCGACGCAGGGGACTCGGTGTGCATAGACGAGGCGCGTCCGTAGCGATGCGTCGAAATTGGAACGAAACTAGAAGAGCCTCTGAGAAGCGAACTCCTTTCTCTCCTCAAGGAGAACATCAACACTTTTGCCTGGACAGCAGAAGATATGCCAGGCATAAGCATCGACGTAACCTGTCACGAGCTGAATGTGGATCCGACCTTTAAGCCAGTCAAGCAGAAAAGAAGGAATCTTGGTCCTGAACGAGCTAAAGCAGTTAACGACGAAGTCGAGAGGTTACTCAAAATAGGATCAATCGCCGAGGCCAAATATCCGGACTGGCTCACAAATCCGGTGGTCGTGAAGAAGAAGAACGGCAAGTGGCGAGTATGTGTGGATTTCACCGATCTCAACAAGGCGTGCCCAAAAGACAGCTTTCCCTTGCCACACATCGACCGGCTCGTCGAAGCCACTGCAGGGAATAGGCTGTTAACATTTATGGACGCGTTCTCCGGCTACAATCAGATCCTGATGCATCCTGATGATCGGGAAAAAACGGCATTCATGCCGTTCGGGCTCAAGAACGCAGGAGCAACGTATCAACGGCTCGTCAATAAAATGTTCGCGGCTCAGCTCGGAAAACCATGGAAGTATACATCGACGACATGTTAGTCAAATCACTCAAGGAGGAAGACCATGTCGCGCATCTATGGGAATGCTTCGAACAATTGAACAAGCACAACTTGAAACTAAACCCCGCGAAGTGCAGGTTTGCGGTCACCTCGGGAGAATTCCTCGGCTATCTGGTAACTCACCGAGGCATAGAAGCAAACCCCAAGCAGATCAAGGCGTTAATTGAGATGCCCTCACCAAGGACGAAGCGCGAAGTGCAAAGGCTCACAGGAAGGGTCGCCGCGCTAAACAGGTTTATTTCCCGTTCCACAGACAAATGCCTGCCCTTCTACGACACCCTCCGAGGAAACAAGAAATTTGAGTGGGAGGAACGATGCGAGACGGCTTTCCAGGAATTGAAGAATTATCTGGCGAGCCCACCAATCTTAGCAAAACCAGTCGAAGGAGAGCCGCTCTTCCTCTACATCGCAGTGTCTGCTACAGCTGTAAGCGGAGTGCTTATCAGAGAAGAACGATCCGAGCAAAAATTCATTTTCTACTTCAGCCAGACACTGACCGACGCCGAGACCCGCTACCCCCAGATCGAGAAGGTCGCCCCAGCCGTCGTAGTCTCGGCTCGCAAACTGCGCCCATACTTTCAATCACATTCGATTATTGTGCTCGCTACGCTTCCGCTGCGCTCGATCCTACACAGCCCTAGCCAATCTGGTCGGCTCGCCAAGTGGGCCATAGAGCTAAGCGAATAAGACATCGAGTATCGGAACAGGTCGTCTGCAAAGTCACAGGTGCTCGCAGATTTCCTCATTGAACTTCCCGCAAAAACAACAAACGAGCCGACTCTAGACGAAGTGTGGACGCTGCACGTCGACGGCTGGTCGTCTAAACACGGCTTGGGAATAGGAATCCGCCTCACCTCTCCCACCGGAGAAATATTGGAGCAGTCTTTTCGCCTGAACTTCCACGCCTCGAACAACAAAGCGGAATACGAAGCACTGATCGCCGGCATACGACTAGCGCAGGGAATCGGAGTTCGAAAGATAAGAACCTTTTGCGATTCACAGCTCGTAGCATGTCAGGTCAACGGAGAATATGAGGCGAAGGATGGACGAATGGGAGCTTACCTCAAGGTGGTCCGAGACTTGGTGCAAAAGTTTGACAAGTTCGAACTCACGCGCATTCCCCGAGGAGAAAACACCTCGGCCGACGCCTTGGCAGCACTCGCTTCGACCTCGGACCCAGACCTCCGACGGACGATCCCAGTCGAATTCATCGAACGTCCTAGCATCGAAGAGGTGGAAGGAGTTCGGCTGATAAATCCTCCTGAACAAGAACTAGAGGACGACGAAGCCATTCCTATGGATGAAGATGCTTCACCGGCCGAGCCGGAGTACGGCTGCGACAAAGAATGGCTCGGAGCTATCCGAGTGTATATTGCCGATGGAGAGGTGCCAAACAACAAATGGGAAGCCCACAAAATAAAAGCTCAGGCCGCGCGGTATGTCCTCGTCGATGGCGAGGAGTTTAAATGGAGATTTTCAGGGCCTCTCATGACATGCGTCGAAGGACTGGAGGCAAGAAAGATCATGCAAGAGGTGCACAGCGGCGCGTGCGGGAACCATTCCAGCGGAAGGTCGCTCGCTATCAAGATAAAACGGCACGGCTACTTCTGGCCCACGATGGTCAATGACTGCGAGAAATTTACGGCGAAGTGCGAGAAGTGTCAGCGGCACGCTCCAACAATTCATCAACCTACCGAGTTGCTCACGTCAATTTCGTCACCTTATCCGTTCATGAGATGGTCGATGGACATCGTCGGACCTCTACATCGCTCGAAGCAGAAGCGTTTTCTGCTCGTCCTCACGGATTACTTCTCCAAGTGGGTCGAAGCCGATTCCTACGCAAGCATAAAGGATGTTCAAGTCGAACACTTTGTCTGGAAAAATATCATCTGCCGAGATGGGGTAACCTACGAGATAGTCACCGACAACGGATCCCAGTTCATCTCAACACGCTTTGAAGCCTTCTGCGAGAAGTGGAAAATTCGCCTCAGCAAATCTACGCCAAGATACCCTCAAGGGAACGGACAAGCCGAAGCAGCCAACAAGACGATCCTCGACGGTCTGAAAAAGAGGCTCGACGCCAAGAAGGGACGGTGGGCAGACGAACTCGAAGGAGTCCTTTGGTCTCATCGGACAACTCCGCGCCGAGCCACCGGGGAAACTCCATTCGCTTTGGTCTATGGATCGGAGTGCATAATTCCCCCCGAGGTCGATTTCCCAGGTATTCGACGAAGAGTTCTACCAGGACAGGAGGGCTTGAACCACTTAATGATGCTAGATGAGCTCGACCTAATCAACAAAAAGCGCGACCAAGCCTTAATTCGAATCCAGAACTACCAACAAGCAACGGCGAGATACTACAACAAAAACGTTCGTAGTCGAAGGTTCAAAGAAGGAGAGCTCGTCCTCCCAAAGGTCTTCCAAAACACTGCCGAAAAGAACGCAGGCAAGCTCGGAGCAAATTGGGAAGGTCCTTACAAGGTCACAAAAGTGGTTCGTCCAGGAGTCTACAAACTCGCGACACTAGCTGACAAAGCGATTCCAAGATCATGGAACGCAATGCATCTAAAGATGTATTATCACTAAAGCTACAGCACGGCCAGCATGAACTACGGGACGGCTTGATCCCTGCAAAGGGTACGTAGGCAGCCTTTCCTCGGACGGGTTCAGCTGTCCCCCCTCTTAAAAAGGGGGGGGGTGGGTACGTATACACATACCTCCTTTAACTCTACAATTCTAGCTTGCTCACTTAGGAACATCGCCACTTCGGCACATTCTCATTCGTTTTGAATCATCTACTTATTTTCACGTTTACCTTGGATTTCTAGTTCGTTCATTATCGCTTCGGCTAGTTTCTCATTCCTTCTAAATCAACAACTTATTTTAACAAGTCCGGATTTTTAATTTCTTTCACTCGTCACTTCGGCGAGTAATCATACCACTTCGGCATGATATCATGACCTGATCACCTCGGACCTTAATTGGTCCTCAGTTTCAGTTCGGCAAATTAAGCCTCCGAACGCCTCGTCTCGTTGCTGGCCACAACGGGGCAACAAATACAAAGTTCTCTAAACGGAATTTTACCACCTTTCCTAGGACGACGGTGCAAGTTACATCCTCTACGGATAAAAATTAAGCGCGCTATACAAATATCAGACCAAAAACGTATCAGGTCACCACGGTTTACTATCGCACACGAGAATATAAGTCGAGACTACATCGCTTTCTCTAAAACCGAAGTAAACTCTTAAAACCCGGACAAACATACTCATTCTCTCGGAAACACCGGTCCATAGTCAGATTCAATGGGACTACCAAATCATCCTTGGCTAACAAAACAAAACGCCTCGTCGTTTTCACGGCTCGGCACCATGCAAAGCGAAAACGCCTCGTCGTTTACACGGCTCGGCACCATGCAAAGCGAAAACGCCTCGTCGTTTACACGGCTCGGCACCATGCAACGAGAAAACGCCTCGTCGTTTACAGGGCTCGGCACCATTCACAGCGAAAACACCTCGTCGTTAAACACGGCTCGGCATTGCCAACAAAAATTTGCCTCGACATTATCACTTAAATTTTTTCCAGAATCACCTAAAAGACGTGTCACAAAACTAACTCCCAGCTCAGGATTAAGAATCCAAACGAGATCCTTAAAACAACTCACCCCTTAGCCCGTATTTCTATCAATTTCAAAAATTTCGGCTAAGGAAGCAATCAAAATCATTCTCAACACAGCAATTTTCATCCTTGAAAATTTTCTCTAAGCCAATAGTTTTCGTAAACATTCTGACGGAGACAACTGAATCAGAAAACGGCTACGGAAAAGAATAACATAACCAAATGCAAAAGAAGTAACAATTGTCAGGTGGATAAAGCCATCCAGGCATCAGTAACATACGAGTTCAATACATCTTTTGAGCAACGCCACCTCGGCGCTTTTGGCTCTCCTTGCCTCCTCCAGGCGAATCACCGAGGCGGAAACTTTGTCAACGTCGGCGCGGAGAACTATCTTCTCCTCTTCCAGCCTCGAGCCTCATCCAAGCGACGTTTGACCTTAGATAGGTCCGCCTCGTACTCGGCCATCAGGTCGTTAATGGCCGCGACAAACTGCAAAGAACAAACTCGCGTTAAACACTTAATAAAAATTTGCGAAAATAAAGGAAAGCAAATAGAACGTACCTTGCTACCGCGCTTTGCAATCGCGCCGTACGACCTCGGCCTCCTCAGATTCTCCGGAGGAGGAAGACGCGTGTTCGCGTTATTTACACGCGAGAACATGACAGCAGAAGCGTCGGGGTCGTCGACGACCAACTTGCACGCGGCGGGGTCCCCAGGCGTCGGCTTCCGCCTCTTCTTGGACGGCACGTCCTTTTGAACAGCAACGCCCTTCCCCTTGTCAGCAGCCGAACGTTTTCGACTCGGGTCATGTTTCTGAACAACTGAAGTCAGGGGCCTCGTCGACTTCGGGAGGGCTAAAATGGCAGAGTTCGAAGGAGTTTTGCTCCGCACCGCCGAATCATCCCCGGAGACCTCGGGAATAATTTCGCCCGGTTCCACCTCGGGCGCTGCATCTCTCTCGACCGCCTCGGCAGTGTTGCCTTCTGCGGCTCGGACCATTTTGTCTCCTTCCCGGCTCGGCGGGTCGGGTTGAGGGATGGCCTCGGTTTGTGCTGGAACCGCCTTGGTCTGCGCTTGAGCCGCCTCGGCAGCTCGTCTCGCGGCCGCCTCTTCTTCATGCCTCTTCCTATATCTCAGAGCGATTATCACCATTTTCTCTCGTGTATCTCTTGAGGAGGTGGAAGATGAAGAACTGACAGGGACTCCGGCAAGGATAGCTCGGGCTTTCTCTACTCTCTCGAGGGTGAAATTCTTCCTCCAATTGACCTTCCGAGCCGAAAAAGAGTCTCGAACAACAAAGAGGTCGTCGGGAATGGGGGGAAGAAAGCACCGAACTGCAAAACAAAGCAAAAAAAAAAAAAAAATTCAGTAAGGGAAGAGGATACCAAAAAACAATTCCGAGCCGAGGCAAAGCTTCGAGTCGGCTACCAAGTGGTCCCCAAGCGGTCTTGGTTCTTTGAACGTAATCCTCGCCGACCGACGCCTCGTTCACCAAGACGTAGAAGAAGCGTTCAGTCCAAAACTGATCCTTGCTGGGAAAACCGCCTATAATCCGTCGCTTCGCCTTGTTGGAAATATAGAATCTATTTCCTTTCGGAGCTTTCCTGATTTTCAGCAAGTTCAGCAGGTGATTCAGCTCGATATCAAGTCCGCATTCGAAGCTTCGAACTAAGATGCCAATCATTAGCCGTAATCCCCTCGGCATGATTTTCCCAATCGAGATCCCGTGTTTCCAGAGATATTCAAGGATCACTCCGGGGATCGGGAACCAGAGAAAGCGAAGCTCAAAGAATGCCTCGTACAGAGTGAAGTGATTCTCTGGAGGCTTGTCGGTTCGGTCGCTCTTCTCTGGAACGACGAACTCCACCGCCTCGGATATCCCGAAGCGATGCCTCAACGCCTCAAGCAACTCAAGGGAGCAAAGCGTAGAGCCAGGCGGGTCAGGTTTTTGTCTCTTAACTTGTGGCCCTCGCCCAGATGTGGAAGCGCCTCGGGACGCCATGAGACGTTCCAATTCATGCTTCGCCTCGAAAAGGTCAAAGGGAAATGCCTCCTCCTCGGCTTTAAGTGCGGTGGATTAATGTCTTCATCCGGAACGGGATCCTGGGGACGGCTCGTCGAAACCGACGGCTCGTCATCCGGAGAGCCGACATCTGATGGATTTGCATGATTTAACGCCTCGTCAGATGAACGATTGGAACGGCTCGGTGAAACAGACGCCTCGGAGGATTCTGTCGTACCTCTCACCTCGGCATCTATGCGGCTCGGCTCGTAATGAAAAAGCGAATCCAACGAATCGTCGGAGCGCCTCGACATAATTTACGACTTATACAAGAGTTACAGCACGACTCGGCGAACCTCCGCCGGAAAAAGATCTGGAACAGCGGAGATCTCGGAAACCCTAGCCGGAAAATAAATAAACTAGAGAGAGAAAGAAGAGAGAAGGGAGAGCTACCTTTAGTGAAAACGAGTGAGTCTGAAGATAATGAGGAGGAATGAAGGAGCTCACCTATTTATAGGAAAACTGAAGCGCGTGAATTCCGTCCAACAGCGCGTGGGATCCGCGGTGAAACGGCTAGACCGAACTGCGTCGGTTGCACGCACCAATAGATCAAGAATTTTCTCTCGGAAGACCAACAGTTGGGATACCCAAGTTTTTGGCCGATATCTTACCAAAGTAAACGCCTCGTCGTTAACAAAACGGCTCGGCATTAGCTCTCTCTTGAAACGCCTCGTCGTTAACAAAACGGCTCGGCATTAGCTCTCTCTCTTGAAACGCCTCGTTGTTAATGAAACGGCTTGGCATTAGCTCTCTCTCTTGAAACGCCTCGTCGTTAATGAAACGGCTCGGCATTAGCTCTCTCTTTTGAAACGCCTCGTCGTTAATGAAACGGCTCGGAACAAACTTTCTCTCGAAACGCCTCGCCATTTACTCGGCTCGACATAACCTTCTCAAATCGCCTCGTCGCGGCTCATCATTACTTAACGAAATTGTCTCGTCCTTAACTTGCCTCGGCATCTTCGGTACCCTCTCGAAACACCTCAGTACCCTCGGCACTCCTTGGGAACGCCTCGGCTTCTTCATTCCCAAAACACCTCATCTTGGCTTACGTCATAACAGCTTGACTAGATGGTTTATCGTACGGTCAGGAGTAATGGACCTCGTCACTCTCGCCTCCGAAACTGACGAGCTGGGGGGCTAACTGTTGGGGTTGGTTTTCACCCCAAAAAGATAAAACCATCTCAAAATGACTAAGTATGGAAGAAAGACAAAGTAGCCGAGCCGAGCTCACCAAGACAAGTGGGAGAGCCGTGGTCACCAAGTGGGAGAGCCGTGTTCACCAAGACAAGTGGGAAAGCCGCGGTCACCAAGTGGGATAGCCGTGAAGATAGTCCAGTAGGGAGAGCCGTGAAGAAAGATAGATGGGCCGAGCCGTGTCGTAAGAAATGGGCCGAGCCCCACTCCAACATGCTTGGGCCGAGCCGCGCCTCGGTGAGGTGGACCAGATCATGTCTTCACTAAAATGGCAAGTGGGCCGAGCCGTGGAAAAGTTCAGATGGGCTGAACCAAGGCCTTGAGAGACGAAGCCATAAAAACCCTAGGCGAAATACAAAGGCGGTGAGACGCACGAGGCGATAAGGAAATATTCCAAAAATCTCTCCCGAGATTCTCGGCTAGGCGGTTCAGGGAATTAGTATAAATAGACGATGTCTACAATTCATTCTGTAACTTTTGCAACCCTAAGCAATAAGAGCTAAACACTTTTACAGCAAGAAAAACTTTCTTTCGATCTTACTGTTCTTGGCGATAAACCCTAGAAGTTTCCGATCCCTTAGTTTTCCTTAAACAAATTTCTGGTTGTGCGAGTTTTGGCTCACACAAAGCTCTTTGGTCTTCTTCGTCTTCATTACCACAAAATCAGTTGGAACTATGCATTCACCAAACTTTAGTGGGTAATCTTCAAGGTTTCCATATCGCTTCTTTGAGAATGAATCTCCAAAGGTAATTGAGACGGGGTGATGCTTTAGAGTCTGGATCCCTAGTCTCTCCACCATGTCTAAAGACATTACACTTATGCTTGATCCAGACTCACACAAAGCATTGTCCACTTTCAAACTCCCAAGAGAGCATGAGATGGAGAACTTTCCTGGATTACCTAGCTTGGGAATAGATTTGGGTTTCACCCTTGTTGAACCATTGCTAGAGACTCCATCAGCTGTCCTTGCTTGAACTATTCTCTAATCTTTTCCTTCAACCATCTCTGAATCATTATTTTTCAGATCAAAATAAGCTGCCTCACCATCTTCTTTCTCAATGTCCTCATTGAGATCACAAAACAAGAACTCAAACTCCTCTTTGATGACGTCCTCATCATCTTTTGTCAAGCGTTTTGCACTTGAGACATTGCCATGGAGAAGATCCTCAAATTCTTGGACAGCAGCATGATTCTCATCATTTGAGAGGATTGCATTGCAGTATTCTCTTGGAAGTGCAACTGATGTCCCTGCTAAAGATCTTTGAGCTTGAGAACTGCAGCGGCCCTTGTTGTTCTCTAAAGTCTTGACTTTGGAAGCCAATGTTGTAAGCTGAGTTATAAGGTCAGAATAACAGCAATCAACCTTGGTGTGGATCTCTGCCATTTTCTTGTTGAAGTCCATGGCACCAGTTGCTTGACCTTGGAGGATTTGCTGGAGCAGGTTCTGCACTTCTTGATCTTTATTCCCTGAGTGCTGTTGGAGACTTTGCTGTTGGGGAAGGACAAAATCTTTTCGTTGAGTGTTTTGAGGATAGAATTTCTGGGTTGGGGGATTCGTATAGTAGGTAAATCCTTTTTGGTAACCTTGTTGGCCACCTACAAAGTTCACCTCAGCTGTGATGTCTTCCCCTTGAAATGTGTCTTGAAACACATGATTCACATCTCTAACAAAGTTGACTGACTTATGAGAAGCTAGGAGAAGTTTATCTAGCTTCTCATTGAGAGATTTGATGTCTTTCCTTGTCCTTTCCTATTCAGCACTCACAGCTCCTCTTGAATTCCTGTCAAAGTCTGATCCATAAAGCTCATCATTCTGAGCTACATTCTTTACAAGGGTCATGGCATCATTTACTTCCCTGGTCATGAAATTACCATTTGAAGCTGTGTCCAAGAGGAGTCTGACCTTTGGTAAAGCACCTCTGTAGAAGGTACTTGATGGGCTTGCGGGCCTGGTGTTGTTTTTTAACAAGCCCGTTGGTCCTTCAAAAGTTTTAAATTTATAAAACCCTAGTGTATGCAAGTGCACAAATGTACGTTGTAGGACTTATGTGTCGATCCACAGGAAGGATGTCTAATCTGCGAGAAACAACAAACTGAGAAGTAAGCAAACTCATAAACCAATAAAAGGTTTTGGGTTTTTGGTTAAGATCCTAAACTAAACCTAATCTAGTATTCACAAGAATTGCAATGCAGGATGAATTGTTAAAAGAACATCTAAAGCAGATGTATGATGGCATTTCCAATTAGCTTCCGGGCGATTTATCTTCATCTTTTTCTGGGAATCTGCATTGAACTAGAATAGACATATGTATGATTAACCAACTGTCGTCACCTTAATCAACTAATCTCTTAGATATAGCAATTAACTCTCGCTTTCATGCTAAACTTAAGATCATGCATTGGACATTGAATTCGTCTGCTCACATCTTCTCTATAGGTAGCTCTCGACTCCTATAGCGACTATGTTCTTCTGAAGCTAGGTATGGATAATCTGATACAGCACTCTCGTTGCTCTAATCGATCCTAGGCTCAGAGAATAGGTCATGAGTCTACTCTCATGCATTATGAACAACTTAGAAGAGATGAGATCCAGCATATGGCTAAGAACAATAGAAATCCTAATCGATATATATGCTTGTCGATATCTTCAAACAACTTGACTCTCTAGGACTAATATACATGATGCAATGAATGATGAAAGACATAGAAGAATGCAAAAGAATGAAACATAAAAGTTAATAAGATAAAATGTATTTCCATCTCCATCGCCTAACCCTAGAAAAACAGAGTTTGGTGGCTCATGTATCTTTTGATTGCACCGTTGGATCTTTGTGATGTAAAGTGATATGGAAAGCTGGTTTTCTCCTATTGATTGTCTCCAAATTTGAGATGGATCAGACGGTGAGAAAGTCTTCATTTGAGGCTGAAATTCTGACGGTCTGAATTTGAGCTAAAAATGTGGAATCTTCCATTTTGCCATCATATTCCATAAGTTTCATGAAAAGAGCCTTGAAACTACAAATACATGGAAATCATAATAAAAGTTCGTAAAACAAATTAAAACCTTTGAAAAAGCATTTGAAATCAATGGTGAAAGGTGGTCAAAATCAGGTGTTATCAGTACTTAGCAGCTGAGCATCAGAGAATCCATGGTGAGGGCATTGCATGGTATACCCTCTAAATCTTTCCTTAGCCTCACAAAATTATTCATGGTTCTTCAGAATGAAACTTGAGATTTCATTTCTTAACCTTGCTGTTCTTGATGAAGAGAAGAACTTGGTTAGAAATGCTCTTTTGCATTGCTCCCATGTTGTGATTGATCCTTGAGGAAGAGACTTTTCCCATTGATGAGCTTTGCCACCTAGAGAGAAAGGGAATAGACTCAACTTTAGATCACAAACTCTATCAAAGTTGACAATGTGATATAATGGGTCTTCTAATGCCAAGCCATGTAACCTGTTTGATTGCACCATGTTGATCAAGCCAGATTTGATCTCAAAATCGTTTTCAGGTGTAAGAGCTTGAATCCCATGTCTCTGACCCTGAGCATTGACCTCATCACCAGGTCCTAAAAATTGTCTTGGAGGTGGAGGCTCTTTCTGATTCTAGTGGTTTCCATTACCACCATGAGCCTGTTGCCCTTGATCCATACCCAACCTCTCAATGTGCTCAACTCTTTCTCTTTGTCTTCTTGCCTGACTTCTTGTGTCCATACACCTGAAAACAAAGACAGCACTTCAAAGGTAATCAGTAAAACAAAGAAAAATGACTTGATCTCAAGAAGATCCAAATTCCTAATGCTAGAATAAGACATTCCAATTGGCAACGGCGTCAAATTGATAGTAAGATTTTAGCCTACTAAGGTCAATTAACCTCTTGTGTTGTAGCGCTTGAGGGTCAATCCAAATGGAGATTATCTAGACACTAAAACTATGAGGATCAATTGTTAATCCAAGTCTAATGAGCAGATGTTTTGGTAATCAAAGTGATCTAAAACATAAAACAAACAAGAACAAGCAGTAATTAAGAACAAGCAAACAAGAGAAGCTAAACAAAGAATCAAATTCAAATAAAGATAAAGCTAAACCTCTAGATGTGATCATTGATCAGGGTGCTTTTAATGCTTAATTCATGATACTAAGCAAACAATGCAACACTTGCTATTCTTCAGTCTAGACTTCCAATTAAGATTAGTTCATTCCCATGATAAAAATCCAAGTCTAATATGACCAAACAGCCTCTTTGTGCATCAAAATAAGAGACAAGAAAGACTGAATCTTATACAGAAAGATAAAGCAAGCATCACATGATCTCAAATCCAATCAACTTAGAACTCAAAGCAAGACCATTTCTTTCCCAAGACAATGATCACTATACTAATCAGCATTCAAACCTAACTCTCATTAGTGGTAATGATGATCAATATGCATTAATAAACAGTTTTAATATGTAATTTATGCTTCAAACGAACATTCCCATGGCATTCAAAACATAAACCCTTAAGTTAGCTCATTCAGGCATTTCATCAAACACTTTTGGTGCATGAAACGCCTATGAATCCAGATTTCACTTTCTCAAAAAAAATTTGGCATTAGGAGTAGCTAACTAAGGAAAAGAAATGAGAATCTAGAACCTAAACATCATAAATGAAACATCTAAGCACCCTAATCTACACACGTAGAAGCTTGAAAGAAGACTACTCACTAATCATGATGAACACACCATTTCCTTTGCAAGCGAGGTGATGTTAATCATGATTATAAGTAAAGATAAGAAGAAGAAATGATAAGAAACAGCCTGAATTGATCAAAAACGAGGTATCTCGTAACAAATAACAAAGGTTTTTACAAGAGAGGCAAAGAGAAAGAGAGAATAAAAATTGCCTAGGGTTTTTTCCCAAAAATGTATATATAGCTAAGGGTTTCAGACCGGTCAGCCCAGGACAAACTAGGTACTGACCCAGTTGAGTTGGGTTTTGAGGCCAGTGTGCGTGATGGTCAAGTCCCTGGCCATGTCGCACTCCCATCTAGGTCTCATTTGCGAACACATGTGCTAAATGGTTCCACTTCATGTGCCACTCGCACTCCCATGTCGCACAGCCTTGTGGACTTAGCATAATTCGAGTTTGGAAGTCTCTACTGATATACTCATAAAATGCATCATTTAGCTTGCATATTTTAGTCCAAATCATGTCTTATTTCATGCATTTTAGGTATTTAGAAAGTGAAACAGGCATTGTATTAGGCTTAGGAGGTTGCATTAGGTCCAAGAGAGTTTTGCATGGTTTGGAGTGTTAAACAGGTGCTTTTGGATCTTATTTGGAGTGGAGAAACTGAACCAGGTGGAGAAATGGTGTTCAAATGATCAAAAATGGTGAAGAAAGGCTATTTGGAGTGTCTCGGCAAAACACTGTACCGCAGGTTGATGTTTATCGGCTAAAATCCATACCGCAGGCAAGATCTTTCGGCCAAAACACGTACCGGCTGCTTAAGCTTCTCAGCGAAAAACCTCTTGTGCTGATACATTTCAGAGATCGCATTACCGGAAGGCCTTCCCGGCGGATTCAGCTTCCGGGGTCTTCAGCAACGATCAAGATAAATGACTCAAGGTTCTAGAACAGTTAGAATCAATACGCCTCAAAGATGCCGTTACCGGAAAGTCTTACCGGCTGATCTGGCTTCTGGGGTATGCATGAAAGTTTGAGAGCATTGAGCCTTGTTTTAATACTGCTTAGAATCAGGAAATTTGGAATTGTGAGCTGGGAGATATTTCAATCGGAAGAAGGATGTATCTAGAAGCCAATTCAGAACCGTGCAATGCATTTCAAAGAGGAGCCCTCCGGGAACCCTTGATCTCTCCGGATGCAATTGGTTTCTTCACTAAAGTTAGACCTGGTTTAGTCATATTTCCTGTGGACTTGATCTTGTGTCATTTTGAGTACTGAGCAGAAAGTTATAATGGTTTATGTGCGGATAGGTCCCTAACACCGAGATGAACACCGGGATGACTGTGCTAGGTGTGAGACATACTTTGAGGATTTTTTTTCTCCGAACCTGACACCGAGGTCCACACCGAGATAATGCACCCCGGTGCTAGTTGAACCTTGCACAAACCCCATTCATTTCCACACCGAGCACAGAACCGGCTAAAGCTTGCCCGGTGTAATCTCCTTTGTTCACCTTGTTCCTCAACAACACCGGCTTGAACATCGAACAGATGCATCCAGGTGCTAGCACACACGTTCAAGACATGATTCAGGACACATCAACACCAGCCACAACATCGGCCAAACACATCCAGGTGCCAAGTTCCCAGCCGTTTTTATTGTTTTCTCTCGGGGTCAGCACCCAGTTTGTCCTGGGTTGACCAAGGACTAGAGACCCAGTATAAATATTTTTTAGTGTTTTTCCCTTAGGGATAAGCTTTATTATATTTGTTTCTTTGTCTCTTTAAGTGAAAACTTTTGTTCTTTGTTAAGAGATACTCTTTTTTGATCAATTCAGAGTTGTTTCTTATCATATTTTCTTCTTATCTTTGCTTCTAATCATGTTTAACATCACCTCTTGAAAAATATTAGGTGTGTTAAGCATGATTAGTGAGTAGTCTTCTTTTAAGCTTTAAACACAAAAGATCTTTGATTTTTCTTGATTAAGACTCACAAAAGAAGATATCTCTTACAAAAGAAAAGTCTTTCACAAAAGAGGCAAAGAAATTAAAGAGAATAAAGCTTAGTCTGGGGAAAAAAACCCTAAAACATATTTATAGTAAGTAGCTCGGACCGGGTCAATCCAGGATACACTGGGTACTGACCCGACTTCAAATGGGTAGAGTGTGCGACTTAGTCAAGTGTTTCCCATCCTGCAGGCCTGAGTTGCACAGCCATGAACTAGCCTTGTGCGCCGATTCCTGGCCGACAGAGAATATCATCCAGTATGCGATTTTGGCCGATTCCTGCTTCCCGGGTAAGGATTTTTGGCCGATAAAAAGCTTCCCGCGGTAAGCTTTTTGGCTGATAAACTCTAAATGCCCATTTTCATCATTTCTTCACCGTCTTTCACCATTTCTTCCACTTCTTCCATCTTTTCCACTCAAAATAAGCTCCAAAGCACCTGAGTATTACTCCAGACATGCAAGACTCCCTTGGACCTAATGCAAAGTCCTAAAACTTTAAAACAAAGATAAAACATAGAGAATATATCTAAAATACATGCATGGGACTCTATTCTTGGACCAGAAATGCATCCTAAACATGCAGAGATATGAATATATCAACTCCCCCACACTTATCTTTTGCTTGCCGTCAAGCAAACTAGAAAAATGAGAGAGGTTTGAAGTTGGGAGTTCATATTTCTTAAAGAGATATGATCATTAAAAGAATTCAAAATTCACTGTCATAGTTGCTAATTCTGAAATGCAATGCAGACAAGATTACTCATAAAACATTTGCCATACTTATCACAAAGTGAATCAAGTCAAAGCATCAGCCTTCACAAGCATTCCTAGTTTCAACCCTTTGACATTCATTAATGTTTCATGTGGATCATGTTCATGTAAGAGAAGTTGATTCATTTGGCTAGTGACTGGGTCTTGATATTAAAGTGATCTCAATTAAGTAACTGGTACTCCAAGCAAGGGATTTCTCAAGGAAATATCAGACTTTAGTAAAATGCTAAGGGTGAAAACAAATGGGTGCATACAGAGATAGAACTACATCTACCCAATACCCCAAATGCGTTCACTCCCTAATCTAAACCCATAAACTTTCTCTCTCTCTCTCTCTCTCTCTCTCTCTCTCTCTCTCTCTCTTGATATGTCTATATTTTACATCATTTAGAGTGCATTTTAGAGTCCTCATCATGTGTTTTCCCATGTAAATTGAGTCTTTAGGCATGAAAATAGGATTTAGGGCTTGCATTAGGTCCCAAAGAGTTTTGCATGTTTTGAGGTCTTTATCAGGTGCTTTGGGAGTCATTTGGAGCTTAAGAAGAGAAGCAGAGAAGAAGACGGTGAAGAAAACGGTCAAAAATGGTGAAAACCGCTTGGAGGAATTTCTCGGCCAAATCACGTACCGGACGGACAGAAACCTCGGTCAAAATCCTTACCGATCGCTCATTACCGGCCAAAATCCTTACCGATCGTTCAGCACCGACCAAAGTCCGTACCGATCGACCAAAGTCAGCCTGGGTCGAAGATCAGGCGTTAATACCGCGGGTCGAGTTTTGGCCGAAGCGAAAGAATTTTTACGACCAAAAAGCTCACCGCGGTACACAGCCCTCGGTCATTTTTCTTACCGCGGGAAGCCTTTCTCGACCAAAATCTGTCCTTGTCTACGCAATTCAAAGATCAGAAATCCGGGGAACCTTCCGGTCCGAATCAGTTGGCGGGGTCTTCAGCAAAGTTGGAGATAATAAAACAAAGATCCCAGAACAGTTAGAATCATCCAATTCGGACCAGTAGGGAGAAAGATACAGCTTCCGGAAGATACATCAACATTACGCGCATCCGAGAACTGAACGGCGAAGTACAAAGGTCACGGCGGACGGAGCCTTTCCGGACCAAATCAGCTTACCCGGTCTTCATCAAAGTTTGAGATCTGTGAAAGACCTTTTCAGAACAGTAGGGATCGCTCAACTCGGACGAGTGGTTTGAAAGATAAAATCTCCGGAGTTCACATCGGTCCGAACAGCTTATTTTCCGGTGATTTCGATGCTGTTCAAAGATGTGAAGTCCAGGAAGACTTCCACTACCCAAGCTCCGACGGTTTCTTCACCAAAGTTCGAGTTTATTGAGTCACCTTGACTATGAAACTGGTCTCAGAGCATTCGGAGTCGTGGGTCGAAAGTTACTGCCGCCGGAAGGCGACATGGTCGATACGGGCCCAAATATGTTGCGATACGCGCTAAGTGTTTCTTCAGGGCTCGGCATCATTACCTCGACATCGGCCAAGTCAAGGCTCATATTTTGGAAGTATCCTGAGCTAGGCCTCGTACAGATACCTCGGCACGTTGGGATCAAGGCATGCACACGTAAGAAAGGAGCTGGAAACGACTAAGTGTTGAACATGCACCTCGGTATAGCGACCTCGGCGTGCATGCCGGACCCTGTTCTCCCGAACCCCTCGACGTCCAAGCGCCTCAGCATTTTATCCCGAGGTCCATTGTCACAAGCCCAGAATCAAGAACAAAGCTGCTCAAAAACACACACGTGAAGATGGATCAAAGACTAGGGTTCATGCATGTTCTTGACGTGTTCTTCACGAGATCTTCATTTGGATCTGGACTCACGTGCGCTCCTCGACATGAAGACCTCGGCTTCACTCTCCGACACACCGTGGCACTCACCCATCAGCCCAAGAACGCGGTTCAGTACCCGGTTTGTTACGGGCTGACCCGCGACACTTTACCTTTGCTATATATACATTTTGAGACTAAAAACCTAAGAATCTTATCTCTTATCTGTTTTTTAGCTTTAAGAACTTGCCTCTTTGGTAAAACTTGATTATTCTAATCTGATATCTCGTTTTTGCATCAGAAATCTTGTTCTTTCTTTATTTTCTTTTGTCATCTATCATTAAACTCCTCATCATGACTAGCTACACGCCTTGCAAAAGACTTAATGAGCTTGTTATGATTAGTGAGTAGTCGTTTAAGCGGCTTTAGATGAGTAGATTAGGGTGCTTTCAAGGTAGATTAGTGGGTTTAGGTGTCTAGTCTTGCATGTTTCATTCCTTAACCGACGAGATCTCTAGGCTGGATCCAAGCACATCACTTGAGGTTCAGATCTGAGACATATCTTGCATCAAAAGTGTTTGTAGAAATATCTGAACCACTCGGTTATGGGTTTAAGAGTCTTTCATCGCGAGAGTGATAGTTTGTTCTCTTAAATGACATTTTTGAACTGACTCTTATTGCTGATTGATTCGATGCTTCTCAAAAGACATTTTTGGTATGAAGGAGAATCAGTTTAGATGCTTAATACTTTCATGAGAAGATTAACATGCCTTGAGTTCAAAGTTAAATGAAACCGCTTGATGTTTTGATTCATTAACCAACTAGTTGAACTTGGAAGCACCCGAATCAAGTATCTCGTCTAAAGTCCCTTGCTTTATTACATATTATCATCATCTGAATCGTTTAGCTATTATTTGCATCCTGTCTCTGTTTAGATCTAATCATTTGCTTTACCTTTCATGCTTAGTCGTTTGTCACTTAGCTTTGTTCGAAACCTTCACCTTTTGTCTTGACTTAAATGAACAAACATCATAGTCTAGTGTCTCGTTGACTTGTCTGGATTGATACCTCTTTGTGCTACTTCGACAAAGGGGATTGATAGCCCTGAGACCTAAAATCTCTTAACTATCAATTGGCGCCGTTGCCAACTTGTCGGAGCATTAGTCTTTTGTTTGTTCTTGAGTTCAAGATTTTACCTTTCTTTGTTTTACTCACTTCTTTGCAAGTTCTTGTGTTGCTTTCAGGTGCATGAAAACCAGGTCTCGGAGCACAGCTCATATGGGAATCAATATATACTTGTTGCGGTGGACTATGTGAGCAAGTGGGTTGAAGCGGTTGCATCCCCAACTAATGATTCAAAGGCTATGGTAAAACTCTTCAAGAGCATCATTTTCCCAAGATTCGGAGTCCCAAGGGTAGTTATAAGAGACGGAGGAAGCCACTTAAGCTTATGTTAACCAACAACATGCTCAGAGGAACGAAAGGCTTGCTCAGCAAAACCAACAACAAGCTAATAGAAACGAGCAACAAGCCCACCATGTTCATCCCGCCACCGCCACAAGCTCAGAGACAACCTCCTCCCGGTTCTTTGTTGGAGAAGAACGACCGAGCTAATGCGCACCATACCGAGCTGGGATTCAAGCTCC